CCCTCAGACCAGGAGTCCTGACCCCCAGTCCTCCTCATCCCTCAGACCAGGAGTCCTGACCCTCCACCCAGGATGCCCGAGGGCAGGCTGCAGTCCCTCAAAGACCCCTATTTGGGAAAGGGGGCTTGTCCCAAGGTAAAGCAGAACAGTTGCACGAACTACAATTTCCGTCAGCCCTTTAGCTAAAACCAGAAGGGGCTGCCCATTTGCAATCGCAAGGATTCGTAGTTTTCTGAAAGGCTTAGTCACTTACCCTTCCCTCTGTTCCAGCTCCATCTCGCTCCCCGCTCCACACGCCTCAAGCTTGGAGACTTGCAACCCTTACAGGGGTCTATGAAGGCGTTCAGAAAACTACCTGTCCCATCAGGCGCCGCGGGTACGGAAGCGCCCGACAGCCAATGCCTCCTGGGAGTTGTAGTTTCCTGTGTCTGGTGTCACCTCGCCACCTCCTCCACCCCCGAGTCCTGGCTCAGAAGCCTCCCTCTCCCGCCTAGCGCCAGCACCAGTCCTCTGCGTTGCCGCTGTCTTTCATTCTCGCCTCCACACTGTCGTCCAGCGACGGCGATCCTCCGTGTACCACACTCGGTCGACGGCGGACCGTGAGCCCGCTAAGCCCCTTTCCGCTTTCCTGCTCTCCCCGTTCTGAGCCGAGCAACGCCTCCCAATAAAGTTGTTGTTTCAAACGCGGCCGAGCACGTCGCGGGGAGGTGACCAATCAGAGCGCGGCTTGCTGGCTAGTCCCTAACGGCGCGGTTGTGAGACGTCATCAGTAAGCGCCAGCCGCTCCTGGGACGCTGCTCTCCTAGAAACCGGCCTGCGAGACGGGAAAACGGTAGGGGTGATGAAGAAGGGGAGCGTGAGGCCAGGCGCCCGAGTCTTGGGAGCAAGGGTGCGTGGGGACGGGCGCGTCTTTGTAAACGGGGTCGTTTTCTTGTGCAAAGTCAAGGGCTCCTACGGCGTTGCGGCTCTGGGAATGAGGCTGGAGCAAGCGTTGTTCCCTGAACCGCTGACCTTTCCGACGTCGGCTCATAGCTTAAGCCATTGCGTATCACCGCTATCGAGTCGATTCTGCTCATGGTGACCGTCCAGGCCGGAATAGAGCCGCCCCATAGGGCTTCCGAAACCGAACTTCTGTGGGAGAAGACTATCGCATCTTTCTCCCAGGGAGCAGCTGGTGGGTTTGAACCACAACCCCTGAAGTTAGCAGCCCAATGCCGAACGCCCTGCGCCACGAGAACTCAAGGACCCTAGGGTAGCCACGGAGGCCGCGTGGTACGTGGATCACAAGTGACTTCACGTTCACAAAAGCACCCCTGACCTCTGAGGAGGTGTTGAACCAAGAAAGAGGGGGTGTGGCGAGGCTTTTGTGCTGGCTCCCCCTGGAACTGGTTCGGACTCAGAGCGACCCCGTGTGGGACAGAGTAGAACTGCCCCCATGGTGTTGCTGATGCTGGAAATCTGTGGGAGCAGATGGTGTGGTGTGCCGCGGACTGGCTGGGTAGGCTCGCACGGCCAGGCTTTAGGTTGATCGCCAGTCCATAAGCTCATTTCCGGTGCAGGGCCCATTCCTGTAGGCTAGGTTGGGCTACATACCGGCTCACTCTAGTTGGACCCTCTGCTGTGCATTTGCCGTCCACTCTGACTCCCAGGGACCTTAGGCCAGAGGAGAGCGACTCCATTGGTTTCCTGGAGTGTGAATCTTGGCAGAAGCAGACT